CTCCACAGTAAATTCAAATTTATTTTCTTAATCTGCGTGAAATCAATGTGTGAACTTTAATAAGAACCGGAGGGAGTATATAGTACTCCCTCCGTCCCTAAATGTTGTTCCAATTGCGGATTACGAATGTTGACCGACGATAAAGTTAAATGATCCCTGTGAAAACTCGGATTATTTTTAGTAAATAAAATTTACATATTCAGAAACTACATTAAACCCGCTACAAAGCCCGCAAAAAATAATTCAACTTTTATAAAATTTTGATATAAAAAGTAAGAGATTAATAGCGATTTAAGTTGACCAATTGAATAGTGAAATGGAACTTCTTTTAGGGACAGAGGGAGTAATCATGCTTATGAAAATAACATTAGTTTTCCGTGGGATAGTTACTTAAGGTTGCCGAAATAAGTGTTTCAACCGAGCAATCTTCTATCATTGTCTATCTCTAAATTCTTCTTATTATAAACAAATGCGATAATCTAACTTCACGTTTCTAATTTTTTCAAATGAATCTAAGATAACTTAAAACTTAAAACTTAGTAATAATTTCAATTTCATTAGATCTAATACGAAGTATAAATCAAAGTTCACACCATTAATAACAGCTCAAAAGACCTTGTAAAAACACTTTAAGGAATTGGTCGAGTAGTGAGAATCATTGGATCGAGGGTGTCCATGTTTTTTTAAATATAGTACGTCAAACTGGTCCAATTTGTCAAAATTTTGGTAGAAATCTACATCTATTTATTTTCTTTAGTATCTAAAAAGTATTCCCAAATATATTTCTCGAGTAGATATTGCTATAGCTATGTATGTTGGTGGTGACTGGTAAATTAGAAGTCACTTTCTTCTATATATATACGGAGTATATATATGTCTTCTTTGGAAAACATTATTAGTCCGATTTTTCAATTCGTACTCTCTGTCTCTCTGCCGACACTAAAATGTGCATATCATATGTATCGCAATCAACAATTTAAATATTCTGTTAATGGGTCGTTTTTTTAATCCTTATGATTGACCAATCTATTGTGCTTTGTTAGCCACCGACAGTGCACCACTAATGACAACGGAATAGCTCACCATTTGTAATGACAACGGAATAGCTCACCATTTGTTTATCGAGAGTTATTAATTGGATGGAAATTTTCCGGTCTAACATTTCTTTGTTTGATTTGGTTTGAACTAGTTTGGTAGATGTATGGTCTGTTTTATAAATATTAAAGTCAGTTCTGATTTGATTTGTGTAATTCTGGAAGATCTGATCTGTTTAAATATGTTTTGGTCTGATATGATATGAGATTAAAATAAATTCAAATAAAAGAATCCTGATAGGAATATTTTCTGTTTTCCAGAAAACTAGAAAACCGGAGAAAAGAAAACGTGTTTAACTGTTTATTCTCCAAAATTGAGAAACTGATAATTGTCAATGATTTTCTTTTTAAGTTGGAGAAATCACTTTTCCGTGTTTTCTAAAATGGAAATACGCACTTACGCAGTGCTAAAATGCGTCTTGTATTTGTTTCATGCTCAGGTATTTGATCGGGGTAATTTTTTTTAAAACAATATATTTTTTGAAGAACTATGCAACCGTGTATGTTGAGTAATGTATTTTATTTGTTAAATTAGGAAAATCAATTTTAACCTTCTATGTTTTATAACTTACTTTTAAAAATCATATTCTTCCCAAATTAAATAAGTTTCGAACCGATCAACTGGGTCCGCTCCTATCGATCATGGTGAGTTGAGTCTTTCATGGTTAGAACTTAGAAGCCGCAAGCTTGACTTATAATTTTTCCATTGAAAAAAAAGTACGGTTCAATTTTAGCTTTCATATTTGAATTGAACTCATCTACTTTCATCTGATTTGTTTAAAAATGTATTTTTTTGCTATGTAGTAAGCCTGGTCTAGTCGGTCTATTATGAACTAGTTTAAGACTACAACTAGTCCAAATGAAAACATCATTAATCACGAGCTCAAATCTTTAAAACTATAGTTAAATGTATTTATATTTGTCATATCTCGGATAACTTGTAGGACAAGAAATATGTTTACACTATCTTTTTTATTGCTATAAATAACTTAGAGGTTTTGACTTTTGAGTTTTGACATGAATATACATGAGCAAAATTAAGTCAAGGAGAAATAGGACAACTTGTGAAATTCCCTAAAAAAAGAGTAATTATGATTTTCTACCCTTTAAACCTTTTCCCCTAAAATTCAATTTATTACTTCGATATAGAACCATATAGGTACAAGGAATATAATTACTAATTTACTATGAATACAATACTCAGTAAATTTTTCCTGAGGCTATCTTTATTAATCATTTATGTAGTTGTACTTATCGAAAAGTTTGTCATTGATGATATTTTTTATACATCGGAAAGGAGTTTGCCATATAGGTACAAAGAATATACTATCGTAATTACCGTGAATACAGTACTTGTAAATTTTTCATGAGGATATCTTTATTAATCATTTATGTAGTTGTACTTATTGAAAAGTTTGTCATTGTTGATTTTTTGTAAATATCGAAAAGGAGTTTGCCATATAGGTACAAGGAATATAATTACTGTGAATACAACAGGGAAAATTACGACAATAATACTAAAACACATACAAATTCTCATAATATGGCTTAAAAACTCAATAGTCCAGAATATAACTAAACGTGATAGTACATGACTACCCGTCTATTAAAAACAAAATAAAATGACCCCATTGCCCTCTTATCCCTGTGCGTAGAGTTTTTGTGAAATGGAAATTAGCGACTTTGTAGGCTTGCAACACTCAATATTTATTGCAGGGCGGGAGGAGAAGAACACCTTCCTTCTTCAGATGCATATCAAAAGAGATGCGACGACATGTGGAAATAGACTTCGAGTAGAAAGAAAAAAAACGATAGCGGATAATATGGAGGATGGTGGATCGAGCCATGGATGCAATAAAAGGCGAAGGTCACCAATCCTTCGGCCCGGGCGAGTAACATTATTACAGTGAGCGGGCATTATTAAGGCATTGTGATGTGTTAAGATGCGGACTGGAATCAAATGTGAAATCTATTTTATCGAATAATAGCCTGTAGTATCCATAGACTACGTAGGGCTGTAACTTTGTGAATGAATAGAACGGGTGGGAAGTAGGACATTAAATGATAGCAGTAGTTTAACTTGGGTACGAGAAAGGCAATAACTTGGGTAAGGAATCTCTTTGGGCAGTACATATAAGGAAGAGGCATTAGTTGGGCAGTAATTCGCGAGAAGGGCAGTAATTCACGTAGAAGGGAAATTAGAGCAGTAAAAGCAATAATGAGGCATAGAAGGGCAGTAATTCACGCAGGGAGTAAGGGTTTCCAGAATTGAAAAAAATGAGGGCAATAAGATTGCTTTAAAGTAAAATGGGCAGTGATTGGACAAAATGCAGTAATAATCAATTCTGGAAAAAGGACGAGGGCAGTAAGAATCAATAGGTATATACCAGAAAAGGGGATGAAAAGGAGGTCTAACGTAGTGAAATTTGTTAGTGTCAGGACAGTAAGTAAAGACGTCGGAGATCAGAACAAAAATAAGTATAAGAAGGATACATATATTGATATATACGAAGTACATACTAATATTAGTACTAATAGTAACGATGGAAAGATTTGCCTTCTTACGTTATTTCCTAGCCTTATTTTTAGAGGTCCAATTAATATGCCAATTAATTAAATCTCCTAAACGGTTATCAATTGATATGCTAATATTCGGTTCTCACGCAATCGTGCAAAGTAAATTAATAAAATAGATAAGTGGATGGGCATGACTTATGCGAGTATCATATTGGGAATAAAACATCATGGAGTCATCATATATCAAGAAAGACATGTTCTTTTAAGTCATACGAGTGTTAATTTTCTCAATACAATACTCGTAAATTTTTCCTGTGAATAAAAACTACCAATGTACAACTTTTGTCTATATTTGTTGCTACGAAATCAAACCCAGGCTTAAAACTCGGGCCCAATAGTTATGCTGCTAATGGCCGGCAGAACAGCCCATATCAAAATACAGTCCACATTCGATTGATGGAGTTAATTACCTCCATGATTACCACAGATAAATGACTGTAATGTTGTCTCTTCACATCCTGAAACAGCCACGAGCTACCGGTATTCTCTTTTATAATTACTTCATGATTATTACTCATGTAAATAAAAGTAAATTTTGGAGTCCTCTAAGCTTCCTCCATCAGTTACCACTCACACCCTGTATATAAGTATCCATCTCAGTACGATCAGATAATGAACTACTTTTGAGATTATTGCTGTCATTAGGAGATATAAGAAACATATATCAATCTTATGGCTACTATGAAGCTAATCCCTCTCATACTACTAGCACTACCATGGGCTGTTTTAGCGACCGCCAGGGAGACAACTGACGTGAACGTGGCGGTGGGATATGGGATTGCTGCAAGGTTGAATGGCAGCGGGGGCGGGGCAGCACAGTGTTGGGACGCAATGTTGGAGCTGAAATCATGCACCAATGAGATCATACTTTTCTTCTTCAATGGGGAGGCTTATTTGGGGAAAGAATGTTGCAGGTCTATAAGGACTATCATGTACGATTGCTGGCCTTCCATGCTCACTTCCATTGGGTTTACAGCCGAGGAGGCTGACATTCTTCGCGACTATTGTGGCCCACCTACACCCACTCCCGCAGTGGTGCCGGCTGCTTAAACTTCTGGTGCAGTCTAGTTTCTGATGCCACGAGCTTATATCTGAAGTTTTATTTTTGCATGGTAGTTATTTGAAGTTTTATGTTTTCCAGTGACCGTTTGAATATTGATCATTTCAGAATAAATCACTGGTATTCTTCAGTTTTATCATATTCAGGATTTACTTCCCTCCCCCCTTTTTCTTTGTTATTTTATACAAAGCGTATTGTTTTTAACGCATAATTGGAATTACAGTAAACTCAACCAGTGGCAATTTTTAAAACATCACTTTACTTGAAGCTAATTTGGTTAAACAGAGTAACGGATGATTTAAAAGTAGGGACTGGAAATACATAATTTGGTTAAACTTCACAATTTTAGCTTACCAAACAAGCTTTTTCATCACATAAATATTTCACTTAAGTAGAAAATTTAACTGCACTATGTCGTTTATAGCTAACCCGGACATGTTGCATTCTTGTATTCATGGTGTAATTTGTTGACCGGAGCATAGACTTGACAACAACGATCCATATATTACGCAATGAAAACCAACCTGAAATAAACATGTCTTCATACAAGTAGAATCCACACTTTCAGTTTCAGCATTCGTTTTCAATTCCGAGCTGGCATTATCTGTAGCCAATATTGAAAACCCCATACTTCCAATCCATCTTAAATCAATGGGATCCTTGACCAAAACCAAAAACCTACCCTCCTCGGAAAGAAAATGCCAAACTTTTGGTATCAAATCGGAGACACAATTCAAGAACTGTCTACTTATTTCCGGAAGTTCCACATTGAAATTGTGTTTCTGAAGGGTGCACTTTTTACAGCTTTGACTTGAGAATGATGAAAATCCTTCCACAAGACTAAGCAAGGACTGACCTGCACTTGTCCAAAAATTTGCATAAGACACTATAAGGGAAGGCTCAAAGAGGAACAAGTGATGGGTCGAACAAGCTAATAATAAGGAGTAGGCAGCACTGGCTTTGCTGAAACTAAACGCCTTCAAATTATCCTTCTCACTCATGGGGTTGAAAGCCAATAAGTCACTTGCTAAGGCTTTATAGGCTGAGGCAAGTGTTGTATAGGCTTTTAAAGAAAGATGGTGAAGCGGGTGAAGCTTGAGAGTTTCACATGTCATTTCAGTAGGATAACCATGAGTTAGCAGGTTCTCTAGCTCAGAACAACAAGATATGGAGTTATCCGATGCAAGGAATTCATCTATAGCTTCATCAAACCGTGCAACCAACTTCTTGTTGGTAAAACTAAAATCCCCACAGAAGTTGCTAGTAATGGTCGAGGTTGGACAACCATGACTGGTGAAAGAAACTTCCTGTAGAGAAAAGTAGAGGAAAAGCATTAATGTGTGATCATCAAGAGACAAATGTCAATTGTTATTAGAAGAGCCTGTTTGGTACTTCGATAGGGCTCATTTGTGACTTATCAGCCACTAAAAGCCGCACCTGGCTAATTAAAAGAAGTACTGCAACTAGTCTCCAAGTGGTCCTTTTTTGCTGAAATGATGAAGTTGACACTTCTAGCTTTATTACTACGTATTAGATACTACGTATTATTTTCTATAATTTGTTTAAGCATATACAAGTTTTTTTTTGTAAAAAATCTTACATATTTAGTGAATTCAGCCACTACAAGTTTACAACAACAACTTCACCAAATTCAGCCAATCAGCCACTTCAGACACTTTAAGCTTAACCAGACAAGCTCCAAGTGAAGGTAGAGTTGTTTTCATCACCTCCAAAATATGATCCACATACGTCTTAGGATCTGCATTGCATCTATAGCAACAGCAAAGGAACCGATACTTTAACCACAGGTCAAATCGTCTCATCCCCTATAAACATAAATAAATTCTATCTGACCATAGCTTCAACTTTAGGGAAATACTACGGATGTGTTTAAATGAAGAGAGAAATATTCATCATAAGAAAAAAAGTATTAATTTAACTGTAATGCATACCTTACTACCTTAGGTTGTAACAAGTCTGTGTATGTTATTAGCAGCTCCTCTCCTTGCTTAATATTCTTTATGCTGCGAATAATTAAACTGGGGCCATATCCTTCCTCAATTCCTGCAATACCATAAACGAGTTACTACAAAAAATAGATACCCAAACTCAGAATAAAATAAGAATTATGAGAAAAAGAACAACTCTAACAATCATGATCAAATATTTGAAAATTATAAGCAGAATGAATGACATTTTTATTGAAATGAAATGCTGGTGAGAAAACATTACCTAGTGACGATAAGAATTTGAAACTAATTTTAGTGTTGATCAGCTCACTTCCATTTCTATTATCACCATCTGTGGGCTTGGGGTGTATAAGCCCGGATGATGCAGCTCCTGAGCTGGGAACTGTTGAAAACCAGTAAGAAGAATTGGGAGAGCAGCTATGGTTAATCCAAGAGAACCTTGGACCATAAACAGCCACCCCCACGCTACACCCAGTCCTATCCTGCACCTCTACGGCGTTAGTTAGCACCAAACACAATACAGCCTCCTCCACCGCGCAATCTTCAGCCAATGATGACTCCAAATTCAGACCGTCTCGCATCCTCCTAGCAGCCGCCATAGCTCTCGCGCCTTCTCTAATCCTCTCGGACACCTCTTCGTATTCTTCGCAGGTCTCCATATCCTCCTGAATCTCCTTCCTCAACAACTCCGCGCGGTTCGTCATCAAACCTCCAATCCTATCCAATGCCGAGTCGCGGGAAAAGAGACGCAGAGTCTCGAATCGGTGGAGGAGGCGGAGAGAGAGGCGGAGGTCGGAGGTTTCGGGTAAAGTGGGGGCAGGAGAGTGTCGGAGGAGATGGAATTCTGCGGAGGAGAAGTGGAGAGAAGAGTCGAGAGAGGAGCAGCGACGGGAGCAGTAGCGGAGGAAGTGTGGCGGGGCACTTTGGGAATCTGGAGAATCATGGAGAGGAGAAAAACAAGCGGAGCAGTGAGAGAAGCGGGAGGAATCGTGGAGGGCGGCGGAGATAGGTAGGATCGGAGGAGTGAGGTTTCGTCCTATGGCTATGTCTTCCACCACTCTCATCTCCATTTCTGTAAGCTTCCTTTCCCCCGCTGAAAGTCTGAAACCAGTTCAAGTCCGCAACGACGACGTATAAAGATACCCTAAATTGACTTTGGGGACAAACACATCAAATAATACTACATTTAACCAGTTAAACAAAGATTATGCATCTAGTACTACATAAATTACTATATGACCATTATTTTATCCAAACATATAACACAAATAAAACAAATACCACTTTCTCTCATGAAACTCAGTCACTCAAATTATCAAAACTGATGAAGACTATCATATACCGAGTACAAATTAGGGGAAAAAAATTAAAATTCCACAAATTTTGAAGGGGCGTGAAATAAACACTTCAAACTTGCATATGTAATTTAAATACCTCAAAATTTATATAAAAAGTTATTTTAACATCATGATCTTGTATTATTTTTTTCAAAAAATGTAAATTTATGGTGTTAATTACATATTTTAAAATATTTTAGCATTCAATAAGATGCAATATAATTAACATTCTAAAATTCCATTGTAAAATAACTAGTATTACCCCCCCCCCCCCACACACACACACTCTATATAATTGCTTTTTAAATTATGAAATTCACACAAAAAAATACATTTTTGAAAGAAATAATACATGATCATTGCGTTAAGATAACTTCTTATATAAAATTAGGGGTATTTAAATTATATATGAAAGTTCGGGGTGTTTATCTCACACTCCTTTAAAGTTTGGGATATTTCAATTATCATCCCTACAAATTATTTGATTACTTAATGATTTTAAAGCTAAGTGACCGGGTTTAGTGTCAAAAGATAGTGTTCTACATTTTCATTATACATTTGAGATGCTGGGATATGAAATGATTATTTTTGTATCATTAATCTGTCAACTATAATTGACAGGAGTGTTATTTAATTTTTCTTCCTTGTGGATCAAAGCATAATACACCCTTTCTCTTACATATTTTTTTTGGAAAAATTGAAAATAATAATCTCAACTATTGTCGGTCTGCTGACAATAATCCTAACTATTGATTATTTTTGTATAGTTCCAACTATATGGACCGTCCGTCAATAATGGTCCATGACCAGATATTACCTCCTATAACAAGTGAATGTTAAATAGAAATTAAGGGTAAACATTAAAAGTTAAGATTATGTATAGGGATTACTTACTATATCTCTTCTCATTTACTTTAGAAAATACAAGAATTTATTTATAGGGACCATTATTGGCGGAAGGTCCCTAAAGTTGAGATTATTTTGAAATAATCGATAGTTAGGATTACTATGAGCGAACCGCCAATAGTTGAGATTATTATTATCAATTTTTCCTATTTTTTCCCACGCTCTTCCTTATCATCTATTTCTTTTTTATTTTGCCTTACTTTTCCACGTGAGCAGATCCAGAAGCTTTTTTGTAAGGTGAATTGGAAAATGAATTAACTAAGCTAGAGACATCATGGTAGGCACCAGGGGCGGAGCCAAGGGCGGGTCAGGGTGGTCAGCCGACCCCGCTGAAAGTTTAAGAACATAGAACTTTGAAATGCTCGTATCTTCGATTTGATATATTATGAGTCACGTAACTCATTACGGGTAAAAAGTTATGACTTCTGAAAAAATCAGCACTATCTTAACTTGAAATAAGGAAAATTTGATGTGTGACGTTGATTATATTCTTAAATATAAAAATTAAACACCTTATTCAGTCATTAATTGTGTGAACATTATGATACATTACATATATATATATATAATATATATATATATATATATATATATATATATATATATAGAGTAGTCTTCCGGTCAGGTATACCTGACCGGAGCCCCGTCCGGCCTCCTCCATTTGGGGGCCTTCCCGGTGGTATTTTTTGCTCAAATTTTTTGTGTAGGTTCCTCATCAAGTCTAGTTCATCCATACTAACTTTCAGCCAAAAATTCAATCGGGAAGGTCGTCAAATGATTTTTGCAAGTTAACTTGTCCGGAATATGTATTTTCCGGACCAGTTAACTTGAAAAAATCATTTGACGACCTTCCCGATTGAATTTTTGGCTGAAATTTGGTATGGATGAACTAGACTTGATGAGGAACCTACACAAAAAATTTGAGCAAAAAATACCACCGGGAAGACCCCCAAATGGAGGAGGCCGGACGGGGGGAGTGGTCCGGCCTGGCCGGACGGGGGGAGTGGTCCGGCCTGGCCGGACGGGGGGAGTGGTCCGGCCTGGCCGGACCTGAATATTAGTCTGTATATATATATATATATATATATATATATATATATATATCAATACATTAACCGAAAAATGCTTATTAAACTACCATTTATTTCAACTACATATGAAGCATTTAACTCAAGTATTGTATAATAACTACCCATCATTTTGTTACTGTATATTGTTAAATTCCGACTCTCCTCACACATTTTTCTGGCTCCGCCCCTGGTAGACACAATATAAAATACTCGTATCAGTTTATTTGTCTCACTTTCTTTTTTGAAACATATCAAATTAATTGTCTCATTTCTTTTTTAGGAAAAAAGTTCACTAAAAGCAGTAACAATATCACTATAGTACCAAAAATCTTTTACTTTTTATAAATTCGACCGTAATTATCTTAAATTACGTTAAAGCAAATGAGACAGTAGACTGTAGAAATATAAACTCATATGAATATAGTAAAAGATATCGTGGAAGGCTAGATAAATAAAAGAAGAAAAATTTCCCATTTAGTACCACCAGCGTTGTAATGTAGATCAACTTCTGATTTCTCCTGTAAACTATGCAGAGCTTAAAACTATGTCCCAAATTTTTATGAAATATAATGAAAAAGTGGTTATTCGGGCCCAATTCAAAAATATATGGTGTCACTTTTATAAACACGCTCTTCTTTTATATGTATAAAAATGATCATTTTTTTAATTTACATCACTAGCTGTTAAAATTTACACCTTGTTTTTGTAGAGAATCATTTCACACTTTTTCTTATCAGGCTCGTATTACTTTCTCAGTTTCTCTTCCATTTACTCCATTACTATTCAAGCCAATCTAAAATGTGTTTTACTGTTTGGGCCCGAGCTTGAGGTAATGCTAATACAGATAAGAATAAAATAGGGGGAACTTGACTTTGCACCTCAATTTTTGGGTGATATTGAACTTTGCATCTCATTTTGAAAAAACTTTGATTTTGCACCTCATTCTACTTAAATTTCCTTTGACTTGCACCCCATTTAGAATTTTTTCTTCACAAAATGGTATGTGTTGGGGTGCAAAGTCAAAGCTTTTTGAAATTGGAGTGCAAAGTCCAATATCATTCAAAAAGTGGGGTGCAAAGTCAAATTCCCCCAATAAAATATTATACAAACCTAAAAGTGAAAGTAGCAACATTTTTTTTTGAAAGGAAAAGTAGCAACAAATTTAGGAGATGAAAGTTGACACTTGACACTAAAAACCCTTCAACAGTTGAATCGTGTAAGAAATTGCAAAACAAGTTCCTTATGATTATTGATAGAATGCTCGAACTCTAAAGAATTACCGAAACTGTACTATAATGCTCTAATAAAAAGGGTAGAGTGAACTTAAAAATAGGCCACTAATTTTGGCAAAAAAATCTTGAAAATAATAACGTTAGGGATTTGGGTGAAAGAAATAAAAAAAAGTTGTTTGATGTAAATACAACAGGTTACCTATCATTATAATAAGTACTTGGTGTAATTAATTGCATAAATTGTTCATGAATTACCAAATGCAATAATATTCGAAAAACTTATGAGCCGTTGATATAATAAATTAATTGTTATTGTCGTACGTTGCATACAGTTACGCATGTACAAGTGTACAACACCAGAACCAAAAACAAAAAAAATAGTGCAAACCAAACCCACAATGTCAAGCCATAGTAAAAGCCATAATAAAATGCTGTCATTGAATTCAACCAATAATTTATTTATTTATTTAATCGGGAGTAATGACTAATTCTTACATATGTTAGTAAAAATGGTTACATACATAATTACATTAGATCCTACCTACAAAGTAGCTACCTAAACTCTACTACCAAAACATACAGTCTAGTTATACCGGAGTTGGAGAGAGCAGAAACTCTGGTTGCAACCTCTGCAAAAGAATCCCACAAAAAGGGCACCAAGGCTTCGTTGGATGTGTAGAAGAACGCTGCTGATGGATAAAAGGTTCAAAATCTGATGGATATTCTGGCAGTGTGAAAAGGGTTGAAGGAGCTAGTTGTGAAGCCCAGCGCTTACAACACACGCAATGCCATGGAGGAGTGGTTGGAGGGCAGACCAGCATGGAAACGGAGCAGCGGGGTAGTTTATGGCTTGGACCGCGAGTCTCTGATTCGCTGGTCTTCTCTCCTTGACAAAATGCAAATTCTGGAGAGTCTAATGGAACCGATGCTGAGCAGAAGCTGCACTCCTCTTGCATTGTGTAGATGGAGTTTAATCTTCTGTAGCCAGATGCAGTAGAAAACAAGAAGGTGCTCAGTGCAAAGCTCCCAAACAATACAGGTAGGGGAGTAGGGATGGAAACGGGTGGCATATCCATCCGTCTAACAAAACTCAAATCCAACTTATAGTAACTTCAAACATGTCCCAATCACAACAGTTTTCTGCTTGAATCTTTCTCAACTCCATTTACCATTTACCTATGGGTACCAGAACACGACCCTAACCCCATTTTAAATATTCTAAACATAAGAATATGTAAACCCACACTCGTAAAAATATACTACAGTATTTTAATGCTCTATTTGTTCCAAATTCTTCTGTTGTTTCACTATTCATTGGTTAAAATAATCTCTTGCTTGATTTTTGAGTAATTCTTTTATCAAATCCGACTTTGGTTTTTTTTGAATAATTTTTTCTTTCAATAGAGCTTTAAGTGTACTTTCTAAATATACAAATTTTTTATTATTAACACAATTAACTTGCAACCCTTATTTGCAAATGAATTTGGGATGTGGGTAGTATATTATTTATAATTTTATATATTGATTGATGTTAATATACACTCAAGTTTGGATTCTGCTAATGTGCTAAGACTCTCCAACCTTTCCCATAGAGTCTCATGTTTAATCTCACCCCAGCTCCTCTGAGTTTATCATCATCCATCAAAATCATGAGTTAGTATAAGTGTATAACATAGAAACAGATCTAGACAGATGTAAGTACCTTTTTTTTGTTCTCTCCACATTTTCCGCAAGACGCATCAGATTCTCTTTCATATCAGCTTTGTTGAAATCAACCCACCTCTCCATTTGTGCTAATCCTATAGGAACCCAACCTTCAATCCTACAAACATTATCCTCTTCATCACAACCAGACACGATATTTGATGAAATAACAGAAAGGCTAAACCCGACAAGCCGATCCCTTAATTCTCTTTCAACATCTATGTGCACCTTCTTCCACATGTCCCACAGTTCCACTCCACCAAGGTCTTTATCATCATCCATCTTTAACACTACCTGTCTGGTTATCACATTGAATAGTTGTAACGTTCGGGATGCCAATCTCGGGAGATACCTAGAGGAGGCTTGAGATAATACTGTAGAAATGTCACATTGGGGCCCTCCAAGTACTGACGCCAACCATTTTAATAGTATATTTTCTACGCATTTTGGATTAGACTGATTGAAGGCCAGAAGTGCTGCTACAAAGTCCCACATTATCAAAGGCTTATCTAGCCGATTATGATTGAATTGCTGTAGTGACCATAGTATATTAGTTTCCAAACATGTCATTTCTCTCTCGGAGGAATCTGGAAGTATATCAGAGATGGGATCTAGATGCTGCCCTCCAATCCACAAGAACTCTATTGCAGCTTTACAAGACCTGTGTGTATTTTTATGAATTGTTGATGTGGATCTTGTTAGTATTACCAATAATTATACCTCCCATAAATACACTAAATAGATCGCTGCAAATTCGTAAGAGTACGTTTGGGCTGCAGAGGGGAACGTTAAGTAAAGGTTTGTGGTATGTATGGCATACCTTCAAAAATGCAAATGAAAAATAAAGAATGATCAACTTCAATAGTTTTTCAAATGTATTTAGTTTTTATATAGTTGTATAGTACAAATAAGTAAATAAAAATAAGTTTGAACAAATATCTACAAATAAATAAGGTCGACAGTATCTTTTTTTCTCAAATTTCTTTCTTTCAAACGTACTTCCTTACTTCGTTTCCTTGCTAGATGCCAGTTTCGAAAGAAAACTTAATACGATTATGACCTTGAGGACTAAAAGGAAATCTTAAAAGAAGCTACATAACTTTCTCGTAATAAAGTGAAAAGAAATTTAAAAAACTGACCTTGCCTCATACATTGGGTTTAATAGTTCAGTGTCATAGCCATGTACCTGCACAAATTGGCTTATGTAACTTAGCTCAACCATTTTCTAATGACAACACATGAGCAATGACATCCAAGAAGTTACAAAAAAGAAATTAAAAATCATGTGATTTATAATTCTTTTCAGGGCCTGATTACCAAATGATACCCTTGGAAATTGGAGATGGTTATTATAAGTACATAAGTATACAATAACAACGGAGGTGATATAATAGGATAAAATATTAAACAATGACCAAAAGGGTAGAAAACTACCACAGCAAGCACAAGACTTCCCGGTGATACTGCAAGACCGCAACATGAATCAAAAGCAGTAGGCATATCAGCAGAACTCATCATTCCAAGGGTGTTTGGGGGAATAGAAACTTGGTGTAGGTAATTTTCCATCAATATCCAGCTGCAAAGGGTGTTATCCTGCATATTATTCAGATTACAGAGTTATCTAACATTCTAACCATTAATGAATTACATACATGGGTTACATTTTCCAAAGAAATATTACACTCCCTCCTTCCCTAAATGTTTGTCCTACTTTGACATTTTGAGTCAAACTTGTTAAACTTTGACCGCTAATTACTCAAAATTAATACTCCCTCCGTCCCTTAAAACTTTGCCAACTTTCATTTTTTGGATGTCCCATTAACTTTGCCACCTTTCCTTTTTTGGATGTCCCATTAACTTTGCCACTTTCCCTTTTAAGTTAAGAATTTGTGGTTCCAGTTAATTCTCTCTCCTCTCTCTCCTCTGCACAAACCTCAATCAAACAGTTTTTACTTTATTAATCTTCATGCCGGTCAAACTTGGCAAAGTTTTAAGGGACGGAGGGAGTAATATTTTATCCCAAAAATATTATTTAATGTGATTCTTTGTACTATGCATTATTCAAATGTCAATTTATTAGACTTTCTAGGTATATATTTATAGATGATTACGGTCAAACGTCTACCTAGAAGACCGCAAAAGTCAAAGTAGGACAAACATTTAGGGACGGAGGTAGTATAAAAGTAATAACAAATGGTAAGGCATCATAAATGTTGAGAAGATAAACATCTAAAGTAGATTACCTGACTGCAGCTGTAAAGGCAGTGTCCATTAAAAGCCCAGGCCAGACCCGTGACCTGTGAAATTCCACATGTGTTAAAGGTTCACTTGAATCTCAGAATAGACTTGGGAAAGAAATGAGGAGGAAAATAGAGAAGAAATTTTGAAGAGCAGAATATTTGCCTAGGTTAATTAGAAAGTCAAAGATCTAAATCTTTTTTTTATCATAGTTAAAGATCTAAATCTTAGTATAAATAAATAAATAAAAGTTAACCATTTTACATTTCTGAGGCTCGAAACAAATGCAGAAATGTAGCGGTTTGACACGTTGGCATGGACCAGAGGAGGGTCGGCTTAAGTTAAATACGGACGTGTCTTATTTAGCCGGCAATGTTTGTTTGTGGGGGTTTCTTTGTTGCAGGTGGAGCCCACAAGTGGATAGGAAACTCCCCACAGGTGGCTGAAGCTCTTTCTATGAGGGAGGCATTGAGCTGGTTAAAGCAACAAGGTTGGGATAACATTGATGCTGAATCTGATGCTCTTCAGGTCATTAAAAGTATTTCTCATGGAGGAATTGATTCAGCTATGGGTTTGGTCATTGATGATATTAGAGAAATTGCATCTAGTTTTACTAGCATTACTTTTTCTCATGTGAAGCGTTCTGCGATTCGGGTACCTCACGATCTAGCTAGGGCTGCTGTTTCTATGTCTGATCGCTGTGTGTGGATTTATGATTTTCCTTCTTGTATTAAAACTTCGTTGGACTTTGATTTTATTAATAATAGTTAACTAGTTTTCCTTCAAAACTAACACTCCTTGGCATTTCCCCCTTTCGCTAGCATTTTCCATGATCTAAACATACTCTAGGGATCAATGATGAGAACATACAATATGATCATGTCCACGGTAAGATCCAACTTTCTTGAATGTGCTGCTACACATCTCACAAATCCACACATGAACTGTTCCTGATCCTTTCCCAATAGCTAAAGAAATTTTGCTTGGTGAATCTAAAGGCACTATGACTGAGAGCACAGAAACCGGTCCACAATCTACGTTTGTGACCTGTCATCATATATCCAACAAACTCAATATGACTGAATGAATACAAATATAGTGGACCAAGTGTATGGGTAGAGAAATTAAGGCCAACAAGGTTCAGGGAATACCAAAAACCCCTTTAGGAGAGTAAAGGTTAGCAGCCCATACAGGCATACACCATCACTTAAAGGGCCTTTTTGGTCAAATTAATAGCATTCTTTGAAACTTCCCCTGAATCTTAGATTGCACATAACTTAATTGATTAAAATTCTCATTATGAAATTGAACCTCTTTTAGAAGAGAGAATGAAACATGACTGATGTCTGAAGATTCCTGAAGTTCTTTATTGCATGTTCGCCAGATCTTCACACTACATAAATGAAAAGAAAAAGATAAGCCAGATATTCACACTACATCCTCAATACGGAGTATAAGATAAGCCACACAAAAGTACACAAAAGAGGCTTATAAGGGGACCTTCGTGGTTGGTAATATTGGTTGCTATTACTGGTTATGAGTTTTATGAGTGTGCGGTAAGCACCTCTTCTAGATCTTTTTAGGTATATTATACACAAATTAATACGGTGCCACAGTCTGGTCTAACAGTAATTTAACACTCGTGGGACATAAGCCAATTTAGTGGTTTAAAGTGTTTAGTTTGGAATCTGTTTGGGTCCATTTGTCCAACCCATTAGTTATCAGACCGACTTGAGCTGTGGAGGATGTAACGAGTACACACATTGGTTCTGTGCCAACTGCCAGGTACGTATCTAGTCTAGCATATATAAGTGTGAGACTGTGAAGTCAACCTTTTGGGGTGAGGTAGACCCAATCTTACAATATCTATACTCACCTCCCATTACAACTTCCTGTGAAAAGCATAACTTGATGATTTGAAGCATCAGAATCAATCAAAGTCCATGTTATTGATGTAATCCAAGTGTTGTGGGCTTGAAGGAACCCCAAAAACGATGCAGGGTTTGATTCAGGACTGCTCCTTGTGGAGTAGCATTGTGGTTGATGGAATCTCCAAAATGAAAGTCTACCAGACTTTCCTCCCACCGCAAGCACTGAAAAGCCACTTTTCCATCGTAGATGGGGTGACCATGCCACAGTAAGTGAAGATATCATTGCATTACGAGATGCATATTCTTCGGCAGAGAGATGCAGTGTGTTTTTTTTCACCACACCATCTTTGAAGTTTACTACCTGTAGATGGAATAAAAAATTCAATAAGCAAAAATTTCCCTCTAAAAGCTGGTTATTTTTGCTTAAATCAAATTGTTCAAATCTTTCTTCAGAATATAAGACATATAGTGACATAGTGTACATTACAGTCAAGGCTTTCAGCTTCCTTTGCTTTTTTGTTTTCAAGAAATGAGATAACGTCATGTCTTCTTCAAATTCTTGGTTATCACAGGCATCAGTTGTCTGTTTATCAAACAAAGGAAAATGGAGAAATTCTCTAAGGCTCCATCTGGGACAAGGAAAATAGTAGGGGGGAAATAAGTGCGGGGGGGGGGGGGGATAAGTGAGAGGGGGACTTGGGGAAAAGTGAAGAATAGACTCGACCTATATAAATTTACTTTAGTTTTTTTCTCAAATACATTTTTTATATAATTCTATCATTCTATGATACAAAAACTGAGAAATTTAAAGGTATGGAAAAAGTAATTTTAGAGCACATTTTTATTTCATTTTCACTAACCAAGCAAGGTAAAGCCCAACAAAAGAAAGTAACTTTGCTTATCACCTTTTTTCTTTTTCCTAGCAATTTCTATGATCCAAAGATTCCAAACGTACCCTTACTGAAGAAACAAACATGGACATAAAAAAGAAAGAATCACTAAGGTAATGAACGATATCCATAAGTAAAAAAATACTCATGAAGAAGGGATATAACACAGCGGTAGAGTGTCACCTTGACGTGGTGGAAGTCATCGGTTTGATCCTGTAATCCACTTACATATGAAATATTAGAAGATATGCTCGCATCCTCAAAATTGGCATTTTCTAGATAAGTGTAAAGCATCTCGGATATATCCACTACCTACTAAAGTTAAAAGAAGAATGGTATAAATGTATAATAACTATCAACAAACTAATGAAGATGAAATATTATAACAAAAGGACATATTGTGGAATGTTTGTTTCCTCGCTGAATACCTCTATCCACTCAACTCTAAACTCACAGAAAGGCATGCGGTAAACCTTCACACGCCCCTCGGTGGTGCATATGGCAAGAAAGCAGCTGCTTAGATAAATCATCATGACAATTTAGAGAAACAAGCCAAATACAGACTATGGTATATGGTAGACCTGTAGTTTTTGGAAGCCAAACCTGGCATTTGAGGCAAATCCAATAGGAGACCATGAAATTGACCTAACACAAGGGTGAATGTCTCGTGATATGCAAATAGGCAATAAACAATCAGATGTCAAGTCTGCAAAAATCCCAAGAAGGACAAACATGAGGTCAACTTGATTTACATTGACGGCAACACTACGTAACGTGCAATATCAGAAACAATTCACATTAATTCCTAGAAAACTAAATAAATCTTCTTTAAAGAACTGGCAGAAAAATTAATGCCACTCTGTTCCATCTCAATAGAAAATACACAAATGTACCTTCCTTGTCAACCAGCCCAATTTGAAAGGGCTTGCTGGTAGGAACTGTAATTAGTCCACGAGCTACAAATGGCTTAGCAGGGTTCTGGAAGAAAAAAAATCAGACAAATTTCCTCGGTCAGACAACGAGTTTCATGATATTTTGTGAAAATAAACTATACTGGTAATAGGAGTACGGAAATAGAACCAAGACTCAAAAAAAGATAAATATTTTACCAGAATAGTAACAAGATGACCTGAAGCCACGGCTACCAAATTTTCCTCTGACCAAGCAATAGCATTGGGGCAGGAAGGTGCGCCCACCAATGCAGCAACTTGGAAGCCCAAGGACATTGTCTATAGCCGTTATTCAAAACAAGTATAGCAGACCAAACCTCGATATTTCCAGCTCCAAACTACTCAAAAATTCAATCTTTCAGATGACAGAAGGAAGATTAGATTTTAGCTTTGTAGTTTTGTGAGTGTGTGTGTGTGTTATTACAAATATATTACCCACACACACATATACATGTATAGAAAAAACTAGGAAAAGAAAAAGAAAAAAAAAACTCACACATTTACTAAACATATACTGTACTCCTTAATAAGTTTGAATTATAAGTTGAATGAGAGTAAATGATTAGAAATTCTTAAGGGCTGTTTTCTCAGGCAAGCCATTTACCATACTCAATTCCTTTATTTTATACTCTCTCAATCCCAGACATATTTTCATATTTGACTTTTCTGGTCCGAGACGTCAAACTTCCAAATACATATTTTTATAAAAAATTATTTATAATATTAAAGGGAGTAAATGCTCTTTATTAAAACTACTATCATACAAGTATAAACTTTATAAATTTCACTAAATATATTGATGAAGAAGGCTCACTTTGACAAAAAAACACGAAGAACTGTTTTGGAATAAATAAGGAATATCAATTGGAAAAATACCGGAACTAATCAATAAAAAGGGGAAGAATTGGAGGAATACCGGAACTATGGAAGGTGACTATTGAGAAGGGCGGAATGGCCGAACCGCCGAAGGTCGACGGAATTGAGGCTAGTAGGCGACGAGCGACGAGACGCGCTGCGGTGCTGGTGCCTGGCGGAGTTGCGGTGTTGCCGTGCTGCGTGCTGGCGCTTGCCGGAGGAGAAGCCGGAAGGGGGAGTCGGGAACTTAGCTGGACTTTTGATGGAGATGAGTTGTGATGAGTTGTCTGCTCGGCTTTCGTTTGAAGTACTGCGCCTTTTTGTTAATTTTCGACTCTTGAAACCCTATTAAACTTTCTCTATACAAATTTTGGATTTTCTCTTCAAAATAATACTGTAATTTAATATTAGGAAAAATTGATAGTAATAATTCCAATTATTGGCGGTCCGCTCATAATAATCTCAACTATTGATTATTACAGAATAATCCCAACTTTATGGACCTTCCGCCAATAATGGTCCCTATGAATAAATTCTTGTAGTTTCTAAAGTGGATGAGATGAGATATAACAAGTAATCCCTATAAATAATCTCAACTTTTAATTTTTACGCTTAATTTCTATTTAAAATTCACTTTTTATAGAGGTGATATATGGTCATGGACCATTATTGACGGATAGCCTATATAGTTGGGATTATACAAAAATAATTAATAGTTGGGATTATTTTCAACGGACCGGCAATAGTTGGGATTATTATTTTCAATTTTTCCTTAATATTATGGTATTAGAATTTTAGGATTGAACATAAGTTATTATGATTTCATTACTACTTTAGTCACTAGTCACATATTTGTAATCAATTTTTATTTTAATCATAAATATGTAATTATTTCTAAAAGTTTATATTAAAAGGGTGTTTGGTAAGAGAGTGAAGTATAATGACGTAAAAGATTTACACTGTTTAGTTTCATTGTTTAATGTAATTTGCAAGGTACATTTTAAAAATATTTCGCATTGTACTTTGCACGCTTTTTTATAAAGCATTGCAACACATTCGCGTGCAAATTAAAAATACATTGTATATCTAGGTAAACAATTTACGGCAATTGACAAAAAATAAGTATATAAGTAGTTGCCAACCAAAAGGCGTAACAATTACGCAAAAGGTGTAACAATTAACAACAAATTTCAATTTTTTTTATAAATTTCAAAATATTAAACTAGTACAAATATTATAATAGCAAGCATAAAGCCTTATTGAATATGAAGACACTAGTGCATAACATTTAAATACTTAACCATAACACATCACTTATTCATTATTGGCGTGGATCGCGTGGGTGAGTGTTGAGTACTTCATATAGAAATGTCTTCAATTCGTAGCGTACCATAATCGTTGCTTACCTGTTTTCCCAAATACAAAATCTCTTGATAATGATGGCATTGTGTATAAAACATGTCATTAACATGTTCGTATAGATAGAGTACTAAAGTAACATTGTTTCCTAACAAAGATGAATGTGTGTGTGATTGTGTGAATATATTAAATATAAATGTAAAGATGAAGAGTGGAAGAGAAAAGAGGATAATACATTGTAGAATGAAGGAGTTTTTAAATGAATACTTATAGAATTTTTTTTAGCTCCCCAACCCCTAGGCCATAAAGTAACATTGAAGTTCGAGACCGAGTAACATTGACCGAGGCAGGGGGTCATTTTCTGAGACCGGAAAGCCGATCCCGGGTTAGTCACATACAAACTCATAAAAGGGATGAAAAGAATTCATCTGGGCACACATATGACCCCCACCCCACACTCATACACAAAATGTATATGTATGTATGGTCATAACCTCAAACGTGTATTCTTCAGCATATGTTGTTCATACTATCTTAGACAAGTGTTGTTCATACTGGACTACTAGTACTGATTAATGATAAATTGATAACTTAATTTTCATCTTAAAGAAACCACGTTTTTCTTTAGAATCTTTTGGAGGGGATGAGTGAAAGGCTTCCCATAATGGGAATCCCATGTTCAATTTTTTTTTTCCAAATAATTGACAAGTTATTCTGTCAAGTATTACTATAAAATTCTAAGAAATTACATTCGACACATATTACAGCCTTACAGCCGTTACAGGTATACTACACCAAAGAAAACAATGGTTGAAGCTTTTAAAAATGTCCATTTCATAACCATCTTAGTAACCAAAACGGTGAGGATACATACATTAATGAAAAAACACACAAACAAGTCTCGTATCTGCTTAAAAAGTTGAGAATAAACAGGCAACAGACGGGACTCATTTCCATTCAAAGTTAGAAGTTTACAAAAGTACTTCCATTAGATAAATAGTTAAAGCAAACTATCCAGCTAGATAAATAAACACAAATTAATTACTCTAATTTTATTAACAGTTACTTCCTCCTGAAACTGTTTCTCCAGAGCATTACAGCCATCGACGGGAGAGCTCTGATGGTTCCAAAAAAGCCCTCAGCTTTTACAATCCTCTTGATGTGGGCGTAATCCTCAGGTCGACAGACAATTCTGACCTCATCAATTGGAATATTTTCATCGTATTTCACTTTTGACTTCGTGCCCCGTACTAACAGCTTCAACCCGGACCATGAACCTTTCATTCTGTCACTGTAAAAAACAAGAAAAGTCTTATAAATCACGAAAAACTCTATATATTTAAAACTTTAAAAGCTGGACTGCCTAGGATAACTGTTCCCGCTTGACAATGATGACATCAATGTGAGATCATCAAGATGACATCAGGGGATTATGTGACATGTGCTCACAGTTAATCTGCAAAATTTTGGAGTTCCATCGTTCAAATGCAACACTGTCAACATATTTGTTGGTCATTAAATTACAGCTTATTACCAGTGTTACAAAATCCGGACCACCAGACCGGGAGGTCCAACCCACAACCCGGCTTTGGATCCACTCCAGTATAGCCCAACCCCGCAAATGTGCCTTAAAGTGGAATTAACCGCCTAACCGGCAACCCGTAATAAACTGGAATTAACCAAATCACTCCATTAAAAAGCCTACGACCAAGGGTTTCCCTTGGTTGCTAGCTTTGCAACACACCAACAACACCACCTGTGATACTTGGCACTACATGTTCACTGGTTGCTTTAGTTTTGTTTATTTTGCTTACTTAACATTTTTAGACTTACAATTTCATTATTAATTATAGTTATAATTAGCAATCATAATAAGAATATAATTGCTACTACTATACTAATAAAACATTTAAAAAACCTTATACATAGTATGTAACAATCATATCTATAATTTTTATGCTACGTATATAAATATTATTTGAATATTTATCTAATCTAATTCTTAACATTTTTAACTTTGATTTTTTTTATATTGGGTACATTAGTTTTTTTCTTATAACCATTATTAAATTATGAATGGGAGTAATTCTTAACCTTGCATCTTTAAACTAATATACATTAAACTAATATACAACAATACATTTTTAGGTTCTACGTAGTACTTTTCAAGAAATATTGACCGGGTTTGACCCGTCATTGAAGGGGCTGAGACTCCCAGGTCCCGGATGACCTTAATCGGTCCGGGTTGCCTACAGGTCAGGTTTTGAGAACACAACTTATTACAAGTTTACAAATCCTTAAATTAGGAAATTATTCATCGTTTAAATGAAAGAGCAGATAGAGAACGAAGATTAACAACATCCTCTAAGCTTGATCTATTCACCACTGATAAGATATAAAAAAAAAAATATGCACGAACAAACACAACAATATGTGATCAAATAAGAAAAGACAATCAGAAATAATCGACTAACCTTAGCGGTATTAGAAGAGCGGCGTTACGATCGTCGCAGCGGCAGAGAGAGATGTGGCCAAAGAGAAACTACTGGGTAATTACAAGCGGGAGTGTAGCTAGGTTATTCCAGATCTTGGGCATGCGATTTTCTAAATGGACCGGATCAAACACGTTGGGCCAATAACTTTAAATCATTTAGGGAGTGTTTGCAATTGCTTCAACTTTAAAAAAGTGATTTTTTAAAGTGATTTTGGGAAAAGTGATTAATAGAAAAAGTTGGTAGTGTTTGAGAAAAAAGTGATTCTGAAAAAGTAAAAGTTGATAGTGTTTGGTAAAATAAGTACTTTTTGTGTAATAGAAAAAGTGAAAAGCAGTTTAAAGCACCCTTCCACCTGCTTCCAGCTTTTAGCTTTTAAGTGATTAGTTTAAGCAGAAGTTGTCATTTGAAAACACTCTTTTTAGCTTTTTTAAAGCCAAAAGCTGAAAAACACTTTTTTCAAGCAACCGCAAACACTGCTTTAATTTGGCAGATTTTAATTTTTTTTTGTACTTATTCAGTCAAATGGTAATATTGAAATCAATTAAATGGATTGAAATCAGTTAACCTACTCATAAAATTTAATCACATCAATAAGCATTACAATATTTAAAGAAACCTCATAAATTCTTTTAGCCACAATTTATTATTTTATAAAAAAATGTCAGTTCATACTTCATAGATATTCATTTATTTGAATTATTAAGAAAAGTTCTCTAATTGAATTTCAATATTTTTTAGAAGAATTGAAACATGTGAAAGAAAAGCATGCAAGGTTGAAAAAACATTTAAATATTCTACTACCATGTACACAAATTACGATGAATATTGATCAATATAGTGCTGCATACTTCCCCATTGCTACTAATAGTAGTCATTGTTCTAGAAATCGATCTAGGTGTCCGACTAGTCCCCGCCTAGGTGCTAGACGGTCGTCGGACGCCCTGATTTCTATTTAGATGCTCTCTACTTATTGGTTTGGCATCTAAGTGAATTAAACCAGATAAAACCAGATCAAACTTTAATAATAATACGAGTATAAGACACATAATATGTAAAACAGACATCTACCAGATAATATTACTTCAGACCAAATCATACACAGAATTTTTAATTCAATTTAAAACGTCCTTATTAATGATGTTTACAATGTGACAATATAATGAGTAAATTGTAAAAACACCAACTTTTTGCATTTTCAATGTGACGAAATAATGAGTAAAATGAAAGATCTCGCTATTAAAATTAAAAATATGTATTTCATACCAAGTTGAATGAGAAATATTAGAAAAATATTATTTTTGAATGCTCAATAAAGTAATCTAGACGTTCATATGAAATAATGAGTAAAATGTAATAAAAAAAACTCCATTTTTTACATTTTCAATGTGGTGAAGTAATGAGTAAAATGTAAGATCTTACTATTAAAAGTTAAAAGTATGTATATTCCATATTTCATACCAAGCTGAATGGGGAATATG